TCTCACAAGTCACTAACTCGGAATCACTGATATGTTCATCTGAATTATTAGATTCCATTTTTTAAAGAATTATAAGAAATCCCGTAATTAAAATTCGTGTCCATAAAGTTTGTCGTTGAATGTTTTCAATTATTTTGTAAAGAAAAATACACGTTGTTGATAATTTGCATGAATTTGGTAAATATATTTTTATATTTTATAATTGAATTGATAGACAACCACACAACAAGAATATAAACCCTCGGTTTGCGTTCTATAAATATAATTTTATTTTGCCGTTTGTCGAACAGATTCCCTCCGGATTCTATAATTAGAAAAAATGGTTAAGGTTAATTGGACGGGTTGGTTTGAATCTAAATAAAAACTCTACAATATGCAGCAAACATTAACTTGAGAAGAATAAAAGAAAAAATGAATAAAAACAATTTTAATAAAAGGAGCCATTTCTACATTATTTATACCAGTAAGTATACAATCGCTCTCTTGAAGAACTACAGACCGATTTCCCTTCTGAGCCGCGTCTACGTGCTGTTTTCGAGAGTCATTACGAATCGTCTCGCACGCAGACTTGACGACTTCCAGCCTCCCGAACAAGCCGGTTTCCGAAAGGGCTTTAGCACCATAGACCACATACATACCCTTCGGCAAATTGTACAGAAGTCGGAGAGTACAATTTGCCACTATGTCTGGCGTATGTGGACTATGAGAAAGCCTTTGATTCCGTCGAAATTTGGGCGGTGCTGCAGTCCCTTCAGCGGTGCCAAGTTGACTTTCGGTATATCGAAGTGTTGAAGTGCTTGTACAGTAGGGCTACGATGGCTATCCGAGTACAGAACCAGAGTACGAAACCTATCCAATTGCAGAGAGGTGTAAGACAGGGTGACGTCATATCCCCGAAACTCTTCACCGCTGCATTGGAAGACGTTTTCAAGCTTCTGGACTGGAAAGGATACGGTATCAACATCAATGGCGTGTACATCACTCACCTTCGATTTGCCGACGATATAGTCCTTATGGCAGAATCGCTGGAGGACCTAAGCACTATGCTCAATGACCTCGATAGTGTTTCCCAACGGATAGGTCTAAGATGAACATGGACAAAACAAAGATCATGTTCAATGTCCATGTCACACCTATGCCGGTAGTTGTTGGGAGCACTAAGCTCGAAGTTGTTGACGAGTATGTTTACCTGGGACAAATAGTCCGACTAGGTAAGTCCAACTTCGACCGAGAGGTCAATCGACGGATTCAACTCGGCTGGGCAGCGTTCGGGAAGCTACGACACATCTTCTCGTCAGACATACCTCAAAACCTGAAAACGAAATTGTACAACCAGTGCGTGTTGCCAGTGATGACTTATGGAACTGAGACGTGGTCCTTCACTCCTGGCCGTATGAGGAAGCTCAAGGTCGCTCAGCGAGCTATGGAGAGGGCTATGCTCGGAGTTTCTCTGCGTGATAAACTTAGGAATGAGGATATCCGCAGTAGAACCAGAGTAACCGACATAGCCCAACGGATTAGTAAGCTGAAGTGGCAGTGGGCCGGCCATATAGCTCGAGGAACCGACGGCCGATGGGGAGGAAAGGTTCTCGAGTGGCAGCCTCGTACCGGTAAGCGAAGTGTAGGGCGTCCCCCCACTAGATGGAGTGACGACCTGGTAAGACATGCAGGAAGTCGATGGATGCAGGTGGCTCAGGACCGTGCTTTGTGGCATTCTTTGGGGGAGGCCTATGTTCAGCAGTGGACTTGTGAGGGGCTGTAATGATGAAAATGATGAAGTATACAATATTGTTATAATAAGACTTCAAAAATATAACTTTCAAAACTTTAGATAAAAATAGAGGCTTTATACATTATAAAACTAGTACATTAAAGATAAAAAATCTTGAGGTTATCCTATTTAAGCCATTATGAACCCAACTAAGTATCAACCAAAAAAATGTTACTTCACCAGCACCACAGTTGTGCAATATTCATAGCGTCACGCTATGTTCCCCGAGGGGTTGCGCCGACCTTCGGATTATATTCCCAAGTCACAATGATAAAACTTTTAGTGTAGTTAGGTATAATATATTTAGTAATGCTCATGAAGTTCCACGGTTCAACGTGCCAGGATATTATAAATTCGATAGTATTTGATACACACAACACTCAATGCCCGATTCATGCTTGATGGCCAACGACATTGTCCCGAGGGCTTAAATAGCGTGGTTTATCGCTTCCAGCGTTAGTCGTAGAGAAGAGAATCTCGTGGTTAAGTAATAGCTGCGCGCATCAATAGGTCTGCGAGATTAAATTGCACTTGCCACGGTCAGTCCATGAATGAGTGACCATTTTCTTAACATACCGAGATTGAGAGAATAGAGAGTGCATCTGTGTCCTCACACACTTAGTACACTTTACTCTGTTAAGATCATTATGTTTTTAAAATTCATGCAGTTAAAATGATAATAAGTATATTTTTACTTCATACTTTTCTGGAACAGATGAAAGCATATAAACATGAAGCATGATGGCGCCTCATAAACATATTGGCCTTTAAACAGAGCAATCTTATTTAACTGATTCCTACTTAAATTATTAAGTTTACATTCATATATAAGTCGAATGTTAAAATAAACTTCTGTAATGTATTTAATTATCACATGTATGTAATTATCAAAAGTAATACCTGTATGAAAAATAAAGCAGTCATTATGTACTCCGTGTCCCCGCTTTTTATTTCCCCATCAAAACATTTTATAAATAGATATATACGTAGTTAAGTATGTACCTATTTATGTTAACAATGTGTTAAAAAATAAATTCCGTCAAAACATTTTATAAATAGATATATACGTAGTTAAGTATGTTAACAATATGTTAAAAAATAAATTCCGGGGAAACTGTCCACGGTAGTAAATGTTTTTCTCCAAAGATCATAATTCGAAAATACAACTTTCCGATCTGATTCTTGGGGAGTTTTTATTTAGTTTATCGGTAGAGTCACCTGGGATTTTTTTTATTTGAATTAAAATTCCACAAAAGGTTCAGCTTATTCCCAGGAACATGTTATATTAATATTTTTTAGTTATTAATTCAATTAATTTTTGTAGATATTCAATTTCATGCACTAAACATTTTTTTTAATCTTTTTACCGCTTCCTTAACAATCATTTTTCGATAGTCCTTGTAAGTAAAATGTACATCACTATCTAACACACACAATGACAAATAAAAATTAGTCTCGCGTCTTCGGACTGTCAGGTCGTCTATACGCCATAGACTTAGATATCTACGTTATACGCCAGTAAATTCTAAATCTATGTAAATGTAGATGTTTGCTCAACAACTAACGCTAGAGTTGAGCTTCTTAAACATATTTTTTGTGCATTGGAGAATTCAGAAAATGCTTTGGGTATATTTTGTGACCTTTCCAAGGCCTTCGACTGTGTTCACCATGAGACATTAAGCTGGAAGCTACATTATGTAGCTACAGTATGGTGTCAAGAACACAGCGCTTAAACTGAAACTGAGAGAGTCTCTTAGAGAAATAAATATATTAGCTTTGGCCTCTCAATATATTTACGAAAATTTAATGTATGTTCACAAAAACAAAGATAGTTTTAGTACAAAAAGTGATATACATTCTGTAAACACTAGGAACAAACACAAGCTAGTGATAGCAGTTTCTCGACTCCACAGAGTTCTTGGTTGGTTCTTTAATGTATACGCTATTACAACAAAGTCCCGGAAAGTGTACAAGCCCTCTTTATTACCAAGTTTAAATGTTTTGTAAAGCTGAAAGGGTATAAAAAGGGTTATTATAATATAAATAGTTGATAATAACCCCCTTTGAATGAGGTGGTCGCTTCCAAGCAGCTTCTAAAATAAAATTTGTAAATAGTTTGTACAACCATTAATGTAAAATTTACTTTTAAAAAAAAGTCTCGCTGGGTTTATTCCTGGTTCCCAGGACAGAGGTTTTTTTTTTTCGAAACCAGTGGTGTAATTCTTATTGAAAGTAATTTTTTACTTTCAATAAGAAAGTTCACTTTTTTACACATGTGACCTATATTAAATAAAAAAATATTCTATTCAATTCTATTCTATTCTACTCTACTCTATTCTACTCTATTCTACTCTATTCGACTCTATTCGACTCTATTCTACTCTATTCTACTCTATCTACTCTATTCTACTCTATTTTCTATTCTACTCTATTCTCTATTCTATTCTATTCTATCCTATTCTATTCGATTCTATTCTCTTCCATTCTATTGTCATTTCTTCTATTCTTTTCTATTATATTCCATTCTATTCTATTCTATTCCATTCGATCCCATTCTATTCTATTTTATTCTATTCTATTCCATGCTAATCCGATCTCTACCGTTCAATTCTGTTCTATTCCGTTCTATTCCATTCCATTCCGTTCCATTCCAATCCATTCTATTCAAAAAAGCTGAGAAAATCTTTACAATCTTGTAAAGAAGATATGGTGACATTCATATAGCTATCTTTTTTATCCTGTAGGAAATGTTTTATGCATAAAGAGATCGGTTATATGAGGTTTTGTTCCGTTTTTAAGCCTCTCGATGCTAGTAATTACTCTGAGATATAATGTTATTGTATAAAGGCAAAGGGATCTATGCCTGTACAGCCTATTCTGACTAGCTCAGCAGCCATAGAGTAATATAATATTGCCAGCAGCAGTCAAAACCCAACTAGAAAATGAGTCAATTTCTCAAAGGGTTTGGTATAGGCACCTAATTGAGTAATATAATTTGTTTTATCGTTTACATTAATAGTTCACAAATAGTATATCAAAATCTACTTTTTTTGATATTTAAGCCATAAATTATACAAACATGGAACGTAAAGTTCACTTTCACTGTCGAGACTTTCATCGACAAATGACATTCAAGAATAAAGGTTCATATGGCCAATAGAAAAGTAGCTAATGCAACTTCTTGTGACGTTGCCATTGAGTATTGCCAAATATGTAACGAAGAAAATTTACTTCAAAACATGGTGGCAGCTCAGTAAGTAGGGTGTTAGTTTTGACTAGTCATTAGAATTTTCGGAAGCTTATTAAGCAGGAGTGTTTGATACAATTTGTAAGTATATATCTGAACTCATTACAGCAATTACATACAGAGCAAACGTAATTTTTTTGCCATTTGTAGGTAAACACCAAACCAATAAGCTTCAAACAAAATTAAGGATGACGTCTGAAGAAACGCAGATTTCGGAAGAATTGAAGGGTTGTTACGAGAATCTTATTGTAATTGACATCGGCGCGAATCTAACAAACAAAAAGTACGGACGTGATCTCGATTCAGTTGTGCAGAGGGCAAAAGATGCAGGTGCGTGTGAAAGACACGTTAAAAAAAAATAGCTTAAAACATCGCGTGCAGATATGAACATTCTGTCGACACTAACAAATTACTTTATTAGCGCTGTCCAAATTAATTGCATCAATACTCGCCGCTTGTTCTAGATACCATATATTACGTATTATATGTACACTATAGCAACTCATTTTGCTTAACAATTATCATATTATTTTTATGTTCTTTTGTACAGGCGTCCAAAAAATAATGGTTACTGGCACATCAGTAAGAAATAGCAAGGAGGCACTTAGATTAACTCGTCTTTATCCTGGCACAATTTATTCCACAGCAGGTATGTTATTTACAATCCTTTTTATTATAACGTAAATAAGTACTTGTACTTTAACGAAAAAGTAAACTTTTTAAGCCAAAATATGGGAATGGTCCAAAAAACTTGAAAGCCTTTAATATATGCATCATCCAGCATATTTTATATTTAAAATTTCCGGACTAACTATAGGCAGCAACATTAACGGTGTGAAATGCTGTGGTTACTAAATGGATAAGAGCAATGATTATGGTAAATTTTTCTCACAATAAAAGTGTCTTGCTTTGGACTTTTAAAGATGAAATGGAAGTAATGAAACTATGTTTATTACCCAAATAGCTAACTCATTGCCACATCATTATACCAGTGATTAAATGGCGATAGTGCCCTCTAGCATCCATGTAATATAAATTGTAACTACTCATCTTGAAAATAAACTATAATTTATATATATATATATTTTGATACTTGCAAAATAACAAGGACACCAGTACCCTATGACAGGTGGGCGGGAATGAAAAATGTGATGATAGAGTGAGGGCGATGTAGGAGTAATCAAATAGACAATTTTTTTTTGTTTAAAACTACCATGCATGCTCTTTTTTAATCATGCGCCCTTGCTAGGCACATGCATAGTTTGCTTTAAGGATAATCCACCACTGATACTGAACAAAGTCTATTGGATGTAGTAGGATTATTGAATACTAACAATCCGCCCCGGCTTCCCATGGGTGATGTCTGTATCTCGACAACAGCGCCACCTACAAGATCCAATTGTGAATCTAAACCATTTAGGGACTCACACAAACACACAAAAAAATGACATCAATATAGAGATTAGCCGTGCCCATGACTCCATTTGCATAGAATAGTTTTTAGTAATTTATTGTTATATTTCCCTATTCCAATCTGATTTTGTTCACAATTTTATAGGTTATAATTTTTTTTTACACACAACCCTATTTTTTTCTAAAGTAAAACTAGCCTTACTCCTCATTACATAAGCTATCTGCTAGTGAAAGTACAGAAAAAATTGGTCCGGTCATAACAAACAAGCAGACAAAAATTTTAAAAATTGTTTATTTGTTATAAATACCATATATACTTTGAGATATGCATAAAAGCTGTTAACATACAATTACAATTCAAGTGCAATTGTTTTTATTTGGGTACGACTTTCCATTGACGTCCGTCGAGTTTGGTGTTGATACATATTTTTACAGAAAGATTAAATTTTTATAAGCACACACACAAAGTTTCAATATGCGGAAACACATACTTTTTGAGAAAAAAATATTGAAAATCAATTATTTTTGCAATATTTATGTCAATTCCTACCTACTATGAAACTGACGCCATTTTTATTATTATTGTCAGTAGGGATGTCGATTCTTTCCGAAAAAGATCAATTTTTTAAATAGATTCCAATTGTAAGCTGATGTATCGATTCCCAAAAAATCGATTTCTAAAATATCTATATTTTTTTCATGTTTGCATTTATAATGTAAATATAAATCCATTTTATGAGAAAAAAATTCCCTTCGTCATAAAAAATTAAGGGGACTGATGCAGAAGGATTTCTGTATCTATTTTGAGATTGCTACGTCTCTGGCGCTGCGGGAAGAGCAGCCTCTACGCCATAGCGTAACAATTCGCAGGCATCCCTCCTCACCTCCGCAGCTTCGAAGACGTAGCAGTCTTAAAATAGATACAGAAGGCGGAGGCTGCTCCCCCTACGCGCCTCCAGCTCTATAAAACCACTCTAAAGGTAGGACAGACTCGTACCAGGTGGAGTCGGGGTTAATCAATTCGGTTCTTTGACATTAGTTGAATCTAACCTATTTTATATGTTGTCTGCCCTAATAGGTACTGTTAAAATAAAACAAATTTCAATAAGAGATCATTTATCATGGTATCTTTCTTGTTTTTCATAAAATGGCTTTATATTTACATTATAAATGCAAACTTTAAAAAAATATAGATATTTTAGAAATCGTTTTGAACCGATACATCAGCTTACAATTTGAATCAATTTAATAATCGACCTTTTTCGAAAAGAATCGACATCCCTATTGACGTCGACAATGACATTACAAAATGGCGCCAGTTTTACGGCAGGATTAGACATAAACATTGCAAAAATAATTGATTTTCAATAATTCTAGACGTGGTAGAGCCATGCTGCAGCTATATTATGGTTGTAGCACGAATGGGTCGGCTCGACTGGGGAAGGACCACGCTCTCACAGAAAACCAGCGTAAAATAGCAGCTTAACGCTGCTGTGTTTCGTATGGTGAGTGTAGAGAACCGGAGACCCTTTTTACTGGCAAAGAGGCATTCCATCTTAGTCCTCACGGGTGACAACGCATCTGCATCTTGAGTCTTTATTGAGGATAGATGTAGATGTCTATGGGTCACAGTAACCACTTACCATCAGGTGGACTGTGTGCTCGTTTGTCACCCGATCCTATAAAAAAAAAATTTTTTTCCAAAAATTACGCGTTACCGCATGTTGAAACTTTGTGTGTGTGCTTATAATAGTGTAACTTTTCTGTAAAAATATATAACATAATATATAAATATCAACACCCAACTCGACGGACGTCAATGGAAAGCTAAGCCTTTATTTAATCCACAAAAGATTTAAATATTTTACCTACCTAATCGTTTTAAATATATATTATTATTTTCTCATCATGTGTGCAGTGCAACACCGCACATTACGTTAGTAAGTACCTATAGAAATAATACTGTTCATGAGTGCTTCTTGTCTCTTTATTATATTAATAGTTGTGATTATAATTTATTGTAAGATTAATACGGTTTTTTCTTTCACCTTGTGATCCCTGCTAACTTCATTAAAATTATAATGTCTTAAAAAGGTTGGGAAACCCTGCTCTTGATAGAGGTTAATTCATATTGATTATTTAGATTATTATATATATATTAACTGTGCCTTAGTGCAGAGTTCATTCACAAATTGTTTGTTTCTGTCACTATTTGTGACTTTATTTTGGTCTATTGATTAGGCGGGATAAGATATTATTTACATGCAAATATGTTTGTGTTGGTCCAATAAACATGAAGCTACTGATAAAAATATCTTAGATCTCACTATCAAGAACATGTATAATATAAAAATGAATCACTGAATGTGTTGCTAAGCACAAATCTCAAGAGCAGCTGAACCTATTTTGCAAATTCTTTTTTTTATAATATCCCTTGAAGTATGAAGATGGTTCTTACGGAGAGAAAAATTTAAAAAATTGCCTTAAAAGTCTAAAAACAACACTTTTCTATTTTCCCATACAAAAGATTCGTAATAATACTTAAAAGTCAATTTGAACTTTAATACCATACCATAAAGTTTAAGTGTTAGTGGAGGGGTTCCGGGAAGGCAAAACATTTAAGTGATGTTAGTATTGTTAAATATTAATGTCAATATTTGTCAATATTTGTACACACTGTCAGATAGCTGAAGTTATAAGGAGTAACTTGGACTGCTTTTATATTAGGGTTCCGTGAAAAATAACTCCATGCGGGCGAAGTCGCGGGGAACAGCTAGTAGTAAATAAATATGAATTCCATTTAACAATTTCAATGGTGTAGGACAAACTTTGTTCATTTTCATCATCATTTACATCATTTCAGTTCTTCACAAGTCCACTTCTGAATGCAGGCATCCACTAACAAATGCCACAAATCAATGTCCTGTGCCACCTGCATCCGTCGATTTACTGCATATTGTACCAGATTGTCATTTCACCTAGTGGGGGAGCCGTAAACTTTGCTTACCAGTATCAGGCTATCACTCAAGAACCTTTCTTCATCATTGGTTGTTGGTTTTCGAAGCCAACAATTTGAGTATTTAATGCATAGAATATTGTTATTTAAAGAAGTCAAATTTTTAAGGATTTGAGCCTCTGGTTTTGTAATAAAATAATTTTACCATGTGATGATATAATAATATAAGTGGGTAGGGCAAAAATTGACAGTTTGCATCGAGTGATTAAAATTGTCTGCTACATAATCCATATTTTATGGCTATAAATATATTCCTAAGCAGTACAGCTTTACGTCATTAAATATTATAGATTCCGCTGTTGAACATGGATCTCATCCACAGTAGGAAGGAGTTGCTTCAATTGTCACACTATGTAGGGTATTTGACTATCACAGTACTAGACGTGAGCATCTTTGTGCTCTTGCATGCCACTGATGTGAACATTTTATGGCTGGTATAAGTTTGATAGTTTTATCAGAAGTCATTGTTCTGGCATTTTCTATTGTTGTCTCTTACAACAGCCATGGGACGAAATGAAGTCCTGGGTTCGCTTATACCAGCAAGTACTAATCAGTAATTACCAGTTACTCGACTTCAAAGCATTAGTAATTCCTTCATGGAGCAAAGTTTTGATAATGCTTTTATAACAAAATCAAAAAATATGCAGAATCTATTCTATTATTATTGTACGTGGTAGAGCCATGCTGCAGTCATATTACTGGTATAGTTGTAGCATGAATGGGTTGGCTCGAATGGGGAAGGACCACGCTCTCATAGAATACCAGTGTAAAATAGCAGCTTAATGCTGCTGTGTTTTGTATGGTGAGTGTAGAGAACCGGAGACCCCTTTTTACTGGAAACAAGGCATTCTATCTTAGTTCTCATGGGTGACAACGCATCTGTATTTTGATACGTAATTAAAGATAGATGTAGATGTCTGTGGGCCACAGCAACCACTTACCATCAGGTGGACTATGTGCTCGTTTGTCATCCTTATCCTATAAAAAAATTATGAAATCGTTTAAAATTTATATTAATAAAAAGTGTTTTTATATATAATAAGGGTTATTATATTACTAAAAGAATACATAATAGATAATAACCCCATCGCTGCCAAACTATTTATAAATGTTTTCATATTTATTCTATAAAATATTATGTTGCAGATTTATGATTAAAAAAAAGGTCCCACTGATTTTCTTGCTGGTTCTTTTCTAACCAGACTTTCAATAAGTATTCTTGTATTGTAATGGTTATTTTTATTCTATTCACCACCATATGGTACCTAGTTCCTTAGGTTTCTTAAACATGTTTAGGTCCGCTTTATATGCGTTCAGCATATACCGGAAGAAGCGTACCGGCGGACGAAGTGTAACCCACTATATGGAGTGACGACCTGGTAAGACAGACCAGGAAAGTCGATGGATGCAGGTGGCTCAGGAGCGTGCTTTGTGGCATTCCTTGGGGGAGGCCTACGTTCAGCAGTGGACTTGTGAAGGGCTGTAATGATGATGATGATGATATGCTGAAGCGTTTAGTATGTGTGTGTGTGTGTGTGCAGGCGTGCACCCGCACGACGCGAAGTCGATGTCGGAGGAGGCGCAGTGGGGCGAGCTGCGCGCGCTGGCCGCCGCGCCCGAGTGCGTGGCGCTGGGCGAGTGCGGCCTCAACTACTCCAAGGACTTCTCCGAGCCGCACGTGCAGCGCCACGTCTTCAACAAGCAGGTGCGCCCCACTCACGCTCAACCCCAACAGCCCGACTGCCTCATTGCTCTAGTGCTCGTAGACGTAATTACCGATCGTGAGCTCCCAGGTTCGAATCACGAGTCTGACTAGAATCGCTTATTAAGGTTTCCTGTCAAGATATTCGCAATAGCAGCCCGGGGTCGGGAAGAGTTGGCAGGGAGACTAAGACATAGTTATTCATGTGTTAATAGCATGCAAATAACACCGTCAGCTCGTAATAAGACAGGTATTTCGATATTTTTTTATAGGATAGGGTGACAAACGAGCACATAGTCCACCTGATGATAAGTGGTTGCTGTGACCCATATATCCTCAAAATCAAAATTCAGGTGCTTCGTCACCCGTGAGGACTAAGATGGAATGCCTCTTTTCCAGTAAAATGGGGCTCCAGTTCTCTACACTCACCATAGGAAACACAGCAGTGTCAAGCTGCCATTTTACTCTGGTATTCTGTGAGAGCGTGATCCTTCCTAGGTCGAGCCGACTCATTCGTGCTACAACTATACTACTAATATAGCTGCAGTATATTATAGACAAACACTTCAATTTCGTTTATCTATACAAATAAATAAAATTAAACCGTCTGTTTGTAATGTCAAAATTACAGCTTTTTACTAAATGCATATGAAATTATATACGGTACTAACAAAAATACAATTTTTAAAATTTTTGTCTGTCTGTCTGTTTGTTCCGGCTAATCTCAGAAACGGCTGGATCGATTTTAACGGGATTTTCACTAGCAGAGATAGCTGATGTCACAAGGAGTAACAGGCTACTTTTATTTTAGAAAAATAATTATGGTTCCGTACAAAAAATTAAAACCCCAAATAACACGCGGGCGAAGTCGCGGGGAACAGCTAGTATCTAATATAAATATAAAAATAATGGTGACAAACAAGCACACAGTCTACCTGAAGTTAAGTTAAGTAAGGTAAGTACAGAGTTAAGAGTTAAAATGTAGATGCATTGTCTCCCCTGAGCATTGAAGAATGTCACATTAGCGGTATAAACGGTCTCCGGTTCTCTACACTCACCATACGAAACACAGCACCATTAAGCTGCTATTTTACGCCAGTATTGTTTTTTTTTATTTATTTATTAACTTCTACAAAAGATTCTCGAAAGTGTATTTCTTGAATGTAAATTTAGCTGTAGTGGATGACTATCCTAACTCACCTTGGTAACAACGGTCGTCTAGGCGGGTCCGCGAACATCTTTCAACTAATGAGGCTTACACAAATTGGATTTTGTATTGCATTGCATAAGAAAGGTTTACTGCTTAATTCATTATTAAAATTAAATTAATATGTATTTTTTTTTTCATAATATAAAGTATTGAACGAGTTAAGGCAGTAAAGAACGAAAACAGTGCAGGCACTACCGCTTGGTGGCAGAAATAGCGAAGAGGTCCACCTCTTAGACGGTACTGTTACAGTTATCGTTGTAAAATCCACTGTTGAACATAGGCCTCCGTAGAATGCCTCATCCTTCGTTGCCACGCTCGGCAAGCTGGTTGGCAAGCGCAGTTTTTTATTTTTAGTCATTATTAAAAGGACGCTGCTGCCCATCTCCTGATTTGTTTCTCTCTGTCGCCTCTTACGACTCCCACGGGATGATATGGGGTAGTGGATGTTCTTACACCGCCATTACACGGTAAAATGTTCCTGTAGAACTCCTCTTATGGCTAGGAGCCCGTTTGGGTAGGTAACACACTCTTACCTATTTCTGTCGCCAAATAATAGGATATTGCACTGCTGTTTTCCGGTGTGAAGGGTACAGAGAGCCAGTATAAATACAGGCTGTGCTGCATTCTATCTTGGTCCTCAGAGATGACAACACATTTGTAGTCTTTTTTTATTTGATGTTGCTTACGGTTCTGTACGTGGTAGAGCCATGCTGCAGCTAATATTAATTGTATAATTGCAGCACGAATGGGTCATCTCGACTGGGAAGGACCACGCACTCACAGAGTATCATCGTAAAATAGCAGCTTAATGCTGCTATGTTTTGTATGGTGAGTGTAGAGAACCGGAGACCTCTTTTACTGGATCTTAGTCCTCACGGCTGACAACGCATCTGCATTTTGATTCGTAATCGAGAATAGATAGATGTAGATGTCTATGGGCCACAGCAACCACATACCATCAGGTGGACTGTGCGCTCGCTTGTCACTCCTATCATATAAAAAAAAAGGAAAAACGGGTGTCCATGGACTGCAGTAGCCTGTTTCTAACAGGTCGACTGTAACTTCAGTTTTATGAAAAAAAAACCTAGTTAATAAAAAGGCGACGCAACCGCGCCATGGAGCCATTTAATGTGACAAGATCTACTACAAATACAAAGGAGGCGCGTGCAGTTTATAATTTGACGATCTGTTACAATCTACACAACTAGACCAGAAATTTTTATTATTATTAGACGCCGGGAATTTAAAATAAGTTAAATTAAACGCGATATAATCCGTTATGTTATTTTTAACAAACAGTTTGTGTTTTGCTCCGTTTGGTTTTAGAACCACGGACCCAAAAACAGCAGGAATGCACACACCGTTATGGCACATTTTTATGTTACTTTCTAGAATTTACTCCTGTATCGTAGAGGCGATTTACATACCTATATCCTCCTGTCCGAATTTCGATCACGGCGGCCAGTTTAAACATAGGTCACAGCATCCACTTACCATCAGATGGGCTGTGTGCACGTTTATTCTATATATATTAAAAAAAATCCTGTCCAGTCGAGCACAGGCGTAGAGTAGCCAGCCTCGGTGTTCCATAGAATACATTCCGAAAAGTGTGCACATGAATTATGCGATTAAATTTCTCCCTCCCCTATTCACATCGGACAACCGGACCCTCGGCGGGTCTTCACATCTTTGTTGTCGATAATCCTACGCATTCAAACTAATCGGTTTGCTTTGTACTTTATCAATGGGTACAGCAAAGTAGTGGTATATTTTGCCAGCGTCTGTAATTCTCCCCGATTACGATGTGGGTGCCTTTCAAAAGTGGTAAAATTAAAATTTTGTAAATCAAGGTTAACCCAAAAACTACTGATCAGACCTTGATCAAATTTATATGGGACCACATGAGAAAAAAAAGAATCATCAAAATCGGTTCACCTAGAAAGAACGTTATGTGGTAACACACGAAAAAAAATACAGTCCAATTGAGTACCTCCTTCTTTTTGAAGTCGATTGAAAAATGAGTTTTCAACTATTGTTACATAATGGTTTCTTATATTTACGCGAATACTACAACTCATCGAATAAAACTATCCTTTATGTCGGGAATTAAAAACAAATGAATTAAGACGCGATAAAACCCGTAAAGAATAGTCATCATCAAGGCTTTTGTTACACTAAGACAGTGGGATTTGCCATCTACGGCTTCATCACCACTTACCACCAGGTGGGATTATAGTAAAGCATTAGCTTATTACATTATTGTATGTTAAATAAAAAATCAATTTATGTAAAGCATTCTCATATAATTATCCACTTTCATTACAGCCTATAAAAGTCCACTGCTGAACATAGGGCTCTCTATCATAGATTGCCTCATAGGGAGGGTTTTGCCGAATTTCCCACGCTTGGCAGGCGGGTTGGCAACCACAGTTTTTATTTTAATTCCGCTGTTATCAGAAAGATACTGTTGCCCATCTCCTGTTTTAGTTTATCACTACGTTTCTTACGAAACCCACGGGACGTTATGGGGTGGTGGGTATTGTTACGCCGTCACTACACGGTTAATCCAATCTATAGGGGAGGCCTATGTTCAGCTGTGGACTGTAATGGATGGGTGGATAGACATAGAATAAAAAAAAAATTCTTTGCTTTTTACCAGCCTAAGCCGAAAACCCCAAAGGGATTTTTGGCGCAAATGCCCCTGAAATTTTTTACGAGGGTTTGAAGTTTTAGAATTTTAAGGCAGTTTTTCATGATAAATCGACTAAACCTCACTTTTTTACACAGGAATATTGACCCAAAGAACTCTACCCGAAATGCTAGTGTGTGGGGGGGGGGGGGGGAGGGGAGGGTAAAACAAAGATTAGAAATAGTTATTAAGTTTGCGATTCTCAGCACATCCTAATTACAGCATCTTTTTTTCCCCCCGCGGATGTAATTACTGTTTACATTACGTTGGCCGCGAGCCGCGACTGACCACTGTACAAATGTATGAAAGTGATATGAGCGATTTCTACATAATTATCATAAGCAAGCCACTCTCTTGATGCTTGTGTTAGGAAGGCAGAAGCGTTATTCGCGTCACTCACGCTCGGGCTGCTAATTAGATAGGAATTACTAATAACTTACACACTTAAAGGCGTCAAGGTAAGAAAGTGGATTGTGTTGATGTGTTTGATGTTTTACTCGGGCAAACAAACAAAGGTGACAACGACGACGGTTTCAAACTATATGTTGGTTTTGATTTCCCCGCTGGTGTAGTGGTCGTAAACGCGATTGCTGATCACGAGGACCCGGGTTCGAATCAGTCAATTAATTTTTCTGTTAAGAAAATTTTCAGTAGCAGCACGGAGTTAATAGTTGACGGTGTCACCGCCGTGTCTCGGAAAGCACGTAAAGCCGTTGGTGCTACGTCTGATCTGATCTCTCTCCGGTCGTGTCGGATTACCGTCCCATCGGACTATGGAAGTGAGGGAATAGAGAGTGCACTATAATCATATACTGCGCAGAAACAGAAACAGAAACTTTTTTATTCAATATAGATTATAAATAATACTTATTGAAAGTCACTCTTTTGTATGATTACCACTGGTTCGAAAAAAAACCTCTGTCCTGGGAAGAACCAGCAAGAAACCCAGCGGGAGTTTTTTTTTTAAATAACAGCTTACAATCATGTATGTTACACAAATTAATAACACAACAAATTAGAAATAGCTTGGTAGCGATCACCTCATTTCCAGGGGTTATTATCGTCTATAAATTCATTAATATTATAATAACCCTTTTTATACAA